GAACCTGAAAGAACCTTATCTTTGATCAGTGGGTAAATACAGCAGTAGATAACACTTTGGCAGAAATAGGGCTCATTCCAATTCAGACCTATTATTGCTCTTCCTTACCTTGTACTTAGTATACATTTATACCTTACAGTATTTGAAATATTTAACGAAGTTCTGGTGTATGAAAGATATACCCCATGACTCTGTGCTCATGAATTAACCATCCAGCTAGCATGGATGTGTATACACTGGTATTATTTTAAAATAATATCAATTTTAGATATTATAAACTTCTATAGGTAAGGGATTTGCATGTTGCTACTCTTGTGGTTCCTGATTCTTTTTATTTATACCTATTTTGTTTTATTCTGTTCTGATTGTCACTTCCCAGTTTCATCTTGTCCCTGTTTGGCCATATGTGCCCATGGCCCACATCTTCTTTGGCTGTTAGTTCCTCTGTACTGAGACAGACACAGCTCCCTTGGGCTCCCTGCTAGGTGGCAGTTTGTCTATCCTCATAGATACAGCTTTGTTTCTTTTGGTCTCTTCTTGTTTGTCACATGAACTTAAAAACACTACACTATGTGTTTGTATACGTGTGTATATAAACAGGTTCTTCCACAGCTCAGTGTTGGATGGTCTGGATAATACATGTGTTTTTGTTAATATAGCATTGCCACTTATCACCTTGCCAATTTTCAAAGAATTCATTGCCTTAGGACCTTGCTACTCAGACTGGACCAGTCGCATCAGCATCACCTGGGAGCTCGTTAGAAGTGCAGCATCTCAGATCTACTGAGTCGAAATCTGCAGTTTTAGCAAGATCCCCAGGTGATTCCTGTGCACAGAAAAATGAGATGCACTGTCATAAATACACTTAAAATTGAAACTATATTTTTTGATAATCAGAAGGCACTTTGGGAGTCTTATAGAAACTTAAAGTAATGATTTTAAGTTCACAAGCACAATGCTATTAAGCTGTCAAAATGCCCATTAAAAAGTTATATGGGCCGGCCGAATGGCTCAGTTGGTTAAGAGCTCGCTCAAGAGTGCGAGCTCTGAGCAACAGGGTCGCCAGTTTGATTCCTGGCCTGAGCTGAGCTGCCACTGAGCTGCCAACAGGTGGCAGGATGGCTCAGTTAAAAAAAAAGTTATATGAAGAGGGGAAAATATTGTTTGACTTTAGTTTTGAACTGCAGCAAATGTCAAAATAGCCACAGGAAAGCAGTCATGCCTAAGAATCATAAAGGATTTGTTTACATTCACATGGGCTGTACCTCCAAGAGCCAGTGAGAGAGTGTGGCTCAGGTCTGTTTATTCATTTAGTCAGACTTAGTTAATGCATGTCAGTGCTGTCCTAAGCTCTTAGCTTGGCACTGGGAGGCAAGAGGGAATTGGTGTGGTATTCCCTGCCCTCACATCTATTGGGAATGCAGATGAGTAAATCGGTAGTAATAATACAGTGCACAGAAAGGGCTGTGACTGAGGAAATTAAGAAGCCCACTCAGAGGGGCAGTTAACCCAGACGTGGGGATGGGCCCAGAAGGCCTTCTAGATACAACATCACACACCTCAGTCCTAAAGCATGACCAGTGTTAACCAGGCAGAGGTGAGGAAAAGGGTATTTTAGGTGTAGAGAATGGTGTGGGCAAAGTTGGAGCTAATTCAGATGGCTTGGCTTTTGAGAGAATGTCAGGAAATGAACAGGAAGGTTAAATGTGGATAATTAAGGGCCTTAAAGATGATNTCTGTTTCTGTTTTGTGTATTCATTTTTAAAAAATTCTATTTATAAGTGAAATCATGACATTTGTCTTTCTCTGTCTGACTTATTTCACTTAGTGTCATACCCTCAGTCCATCCAAGTTGTTGCAAATAGCAAGATTTTATTATTTTTTATTCCTGAGTAGTATTTATATCTATGGATACCTAGGTTGCTTCCATATCTTGGCTATTGTAAGTAATACTGCAGTAAACATAGGGGTGCGTATATCTTTTCGAATTAGTGTTTTTGTTTTCTTCTGCTAAATACCCAGAAGTGGAATTGCTGAGTTGAATGGCAGTTCTTTTTTAAATTTTTTGAGGAATCTCCATTCTGTTTTCCATAGTGGCTGCATCAGTTTAGAATCTTAACAGTGCACAAGGGTTCCCTTCTCCACATCCTCACCAGCACTTGTTTGTTGTTTTTTTCACTAAAAACATCCTGACAGGTGGGAGGTGATATCTCATTGTGCTTTTAATTTGCGTTTCCCTGATTAGTGATGTTGAGCTTCTTTCCGCATGCCTGTTGGGCATCTATATGTCCTCTTTGGGGAACGCCTATTCAAGTACTCTGTCCGTTTTTTTTAATTGGATTGTTTGTGTTTTTGGTGTTAAGCTGTATGAGTTCCTTATGTATTTTGGATATTAACCACTTATTGGGTGTATCATTTGTGAATATCTTCTCCCCTTCAGTAGGTCATCTTTTTGTTTTCTTGATGGTTTTCTTCGCTATGCAAAAACTTTTTAGTTTAATGTACTCCCATTTGTTTTTCTTTTTGTTGCCCTTGCCTGAGACATATTCAAAAAGATATTGGTAAGAGTGATGTCAAGAGTTTACTGCCTATGTTTTCTTCTAGGAGTTATATGGTTTCAGGTCTTACATTTTAAATTTAAGTCTTTAATCCATTTTGACTTTATTTTTGAGCATAGTGTAAGTAAGTGGCCGTATTTCATTTTTTGCACATACCTGTCCAGTTTTCCCAGCACCACTTATTGAAGAGAGGGTCTTCACCCCATTGTACTCATATATCCTTGCCTCCTTTGTCATAGATTAATTGACCATCTAAGCTAGTTTTATTTCTGGGCTCTGCTCTCTATTCTATTTCATTGATCTGTATATCTATTTTTATGCCAGTACCTGCTGATACATTTTTGCAATGTATAGTTTTAAATAATAGCTACTTTCTTGAACTGTATATATCAAAGATTTTACAATGGCGTTCTTATTGTACCATTGAACTAAAACCCTAGCTGAGGAATAAGACAGAGGTATGTTTGATAGAACCCTATTACATGTAAAAATAAAATATTGTATTGAGATGTTGACTTATTATATAGCAGTCTAATAATATTAGGTACCTGTTTAAAACTTGAAATAACAAGGCAAATACCACTTTTTTTTTTTGATATAGCAACAGTATCAAAGTGCTCTATTTTGGGCAGATAAAGTAGCTTCACTCTCTCATGGTAAGTGACAAATTCTAATTTTTTTTCTCTTATTCTTCTATTTTAAAAAAATCTTTCTATTTTACCTTGCCTCTCTGACAATTAATGTAATTTTTCCCTCCAGAGGAACCCCAGGACATTTATTGGTTGGCTCAGTGTCTTTACCTGACAGCACAATATCATAGAGCAGCTCATGCACTTCGGTCACGAAAACTGGACAAAGTAAGTGATTAGAAGAACTTTAAAGCTTTTCAGAGCTTTAAAAAATGTCATTAGGTTAGTGTTAGGTGTATGCTTTATTTATGTCAAAATCATTTAAAAGGGTTCAATTTTTCTTGTTGAATGTAAAGAGAGAATTTTTTATTCCTGAGCTCAGTCACCTTGTCCTCCCCTTCTCAGTCACTAAGTTTTGAAAGTTCTGTTTTCTAAATAGCTCTGAAATTATGGATATTCTTTTCCATCTTATTACCACTCATACATGTCAGGCTGTTAATTTTTCTGTTTTGTTGTTTTTACCTCTCTTCTTTCTCTTTTCTCCAGTAACATCGTTTCCACTTCCCACTTTCCCAGTTCATCTTGTAAATTATCACAGGAGTGGTCTTCCTAAAACACGGATCTGATTGTATCATTCACAGTATCAGTGATTTCCCATTCCCTACGGGGTAAAATCGGATGTATCAGTAGACACCCAGAGTCCTTTATGATTTCTTGCCAGTCCGCTTCTAACCTCCCACTATCAATATACATGTAACATGTACTCCAGTTATGCCGACTACTTGCACTTCTTAGACATGTGGTGATTTTTCAGACTCAGTACCTGGAATGCTGACCGACTTTTCACTCACCCTCTCCCGTGCCACTGTTTTCTTCTTCAAGTGGCTAGTACTTTTTATGCCTTTATTTCATAGTTTGTGAAAGAAACTATGTGCTGTGTTTATGTCTCTCCTGCTATAACCTCATAGAGGGCAGGTTCTTACCCCTTTGTGAATCCTCGGTGTCTAGTAAACAGTGGGTTAAAAAGACTGGATTTTTTTCTTTGCAAGAGTAAAAGGAGAAATTATGAAAATAGCTTTCTTTATTTTGTCCTCGTATTTTTCTTTTAGAGTGACGATGCATATTATCTTGACTTTTTTAATGAATTAATTTCTTCCCTAGTTGTATGAATCATGTCGCTACCTTGCAGCTAGATGCCATGTAAGTATGCTTTCAGTTTCATTTTTATTTGGTAAAACTTTGATTATGTGAATGCCATGCATCTCTCACATATGAGTGAGAATTCTAATGATGGAGCTTGGCAGATTAATATCTTGTGAAAAAATGATCTGTTCTTTAGTATTGTTTGCTATAAAATACTGATTTTCCATTTACTGAAAGTTGGAATGCATGAAGAAAATTCTACTTTAGACATTTTAAATTTAAGTAATTTGTATGTGTAATATTCATTATCTTTTAAAAATCCACAGTATTTCTTTGTATACCTAGTGTTAGAGGCTGATGAGTGGTATTTCTGTTTTCTACATAGTATGCTGCGAAAGAACATCAGCAGGCTCTCGATATTCTTGATATGGAGGAGCCAATCAACAAGAGATTATTTGAGAAGTACTTGAAGGATGAAAGTGGCTTGAAAGACCCCTCCAATGACTGGGAAATGTCACAGTCCTCAGTAAGTAATACTGTAGTGAGCATGCTTCAGTAACATCCGTTAAGAATTACCCACGCGACATGGCGAACATAAATCATTGTTTCTGTTTTTTTTTTTACTTGAGTATAACCATGTTAAAACAGTTTGATTGCCAACTTATTTAATTTGCCCACCAAAACCAAAAAGATTCGAGACATTTCTGAGCCACCCGTTGGAAGCTGTAATTATGTCCCCAGATGCTTGAATCTGAAATAGGCTGACTTGAGATCTTCCTTCTCATATTTGATGCTCTAAGCATTACTCCCCACAGGTGGAATCATCTTTATACTTCTTACTGTGTTTCAACAGTGTTTATACCTACCCCCAAGAAACCTTGATTACCTTGGATTGTTCCTTTCCAGGGAGTGATTTGGTGGTACTATTTATGATATATTGTACATTTCTGTTTGTATACTTCATATCAATGAAATTGTAAATTCCTTGCCAGCAGAGATTATATAATAATGACATCCGCAGACATTAGCAGTTTTCTTGAGCTATCATCCACATGCCATGCAATATATTTATTTACAGTGTACAGTTGGTTGGCTTTTAATATATTCACTGAGCTATACAACCCTGACCACACTCAAGTGCAGAACATTGTTGTTACTTCAGAAAGAAATCCTGTACCCTTTAGCTGTCACCCATCAACTCCCCCATTTTAACAGTTATTTTTTATAACATATTTATGAAGGAATTTGGTTACTGTATTTTTCACCTCAAAAAAGTAGGAATACTATACATTCTTAGATGTTTTCTTTTTCTACTTTTTTTTTTTTTTGGACTATTTGTCTATTAATTCATATGCTAAGAAGCACACATTTTTATGCAAAGAAATGCAATTTTGAGGTATATTGGTATTAATCATTATTATTTTGGGACCTTTTATCTATTAACTTATCTGCTAAGAAATATGTGATTTATTATTTTATGAAATTACTTTTTTTTTTTTTACAATTCATCGGGTACTACATAGGTCCAAGATTCTCGTAATGTCCTCCAATGTATTTTAAATTTTGATTTTGTGATGAATCTTCTTCAGCCCTTTACCAATTGAAGCTACCCATTTCTGGATCATATATAAGCTCAGTTATGTGTTTTTTGAGGTTCAGGGTCTGGAACATCAATCAGATTTTTACATCCTCTTGTTAATGATCGTAGTGAGGTAGCTACTATGTGAACAGCTTACCATGTGCTAGCTTTACAGAGAGTATCATCTCTACTCCTCACAGAGTCCTGTAAGTTAGATGAAGAAAGGAAACTGAAGCCAAGAGAGGTTATATCACTTGTAGAAGGTCACTAGAAAGTGTCAGAGCTGGGATTTGAAGTACAGTCTAATCCCAGAAAGCCGTGCTCCTAACCATTATGCTACATTGCTGCCAGTTTTCTAATATTTACTACGATCCTTTCATTAAGATGTATCTATCAAACCATATTCAAGTTTGATTTACTATATGTATACTATTCACTGTCTCTAAATCACTACTTTATTTGAGACAGAACTAATGAACAAAGTAGTAGTGACATATACACTAGTTACAAAGATTTGTTGAAGTGAGAAGAGCCTAGGGAAGATAGATTAGAGAAGTTTTATTTGCTTTCATGTTTCTATTTGTACTGTGTCTGACAGTTGGGATGGAACAAATCCGTTTAGATGTAAAAATAGTCTCAGCCTTCAGATATTATATAATTTTTGATAAAAAATTAAGTTTAGAAGTATTGACTTAGTATGTGACTCATTTTTCTAACAGATAAAGAGTTCTATTTGTCTTTTACGAGGGAAAATTTATGATGCTCTAGATAACCGAACCCTAGCTACCTACAGCTATAAAGAAGCTTTGAAGCTCGATGTCTACTGTTTTGAAGCATTTGATCTTTTGACATCACACCACATGTTGACAGCCCAAGAAGGTTTGGAAACTCAGGTGTTTTTATGTCTAGCACCATTGATATTGTTTGCATTTTTTTTCTCTGAAATCTGTAGAACCAAAAGCAGGCCATGTAAAGGTTTAAACAGACCTATTAACTTCCTAATGTCTTCAAATATGAAGCACATTGCAGAATACAGTATTCTGCAGTGTCTCTTGCAGTCAGAATTTTTAGGGATTGTGATAGAATGAGGCTATATTTTTGAGAAATGATTTGCAGTAGTATAAACCAAGATTTCTGATTCAGTGGTTCTCAACCTGGCTGCACTTCAAATCCCCAAGGAGTTTTAAAAACTGTGCAGGCCCCATCACCAGACCAACTGAATCAGAATCTCTGGTGGAGAGACCTTGGTATCAGATAGTTTAAAGCTCCCAGATGATTCTAAGGTACAACAAGGGCTGAGAACCACTGACCTCGTATTTCAGCAGTGATGTGAGGTAGAGAAACAGGAGAAACAGAGAGAAAATGGGGATGATGCGTTAATGGGATTCAAACATATTTTTGCCTAGTGCAGTTCTCATACAGGATGATTTTGTCCCCTAGGGGACATTGGGCAATATCGGGAGACGTTTTTGATTGTTACAGCTTGGGGATGGGGAAGGAGGATGGGAGGTTGCTACTAGTTGCTAGTGGCCAGAGGTCCTGCTAAACACCCTGTGGTGCGTAGGACAGCCAGCACAACAGAGAATTAGCCACACATAGTGTCAGTAGTGCTGAGGTTGGGAAACTGGCCGGTGGTCCATCAGTCTGGTGGTGACCAGAATCACGCGGAAGCCTTCATGGCATAGCCCTCCATGTGTTCTCATCACCTGGGTCTGGAAGCACCGTCTTAGTTTTCTCTAGTACATTTTGATCTTGTTATTTTCTCTTTTGAATGTGATTTACTTAGACGAGGAACTATAGAAGAATATTTTTTCATTGCTGGCTTTTCCTCCCATAAATATTGTGAGAACATTCTTTTTTTTCCCCTCAATGTTTTTAAGAAAAAGAACTTCTTGAATCACTACCTCTTAGCAAGCTCTGTACTGAAGAACAAGAATTACTACGTTTTCTATTTGAGAATAAATTAAAAAAGGTAAGTGGAAACAAAGTTAGTATTTGCTTTATGTAAATTTCTTATTTCTTTCACTCAGTTTAGCTGCTATATTTTTGCTAGTTAAATTTAAAATTTTTAAAAATAAATTTAGCACATTTGCAAGAATAGATTTATATTATTTAAAATATATGATATGATCCCTTAAAAAGCTTCTGAAAATATCTGTCTTCCTCCCAAGGACTCCTTATATTAAAAGATTGAACCATTAGATAAATGGAATGGTGCTGCATAAAATAAGGATTGTTTTCTTATGCTTCCTGAACTTCTGCTTTGTAAAACACTTCCGACCAGGGAATTCTGTGATATAGAATTGAGAAGAGAATTAAACTTATTGAGAGGAGGACTCATGAGTCTTGAAATTAAAAGTTTCCAGAGGCTCACATATGTCCTTGTGTCAATCCTTGAAACATTTGGGTCAAACATTTGAGTCTGCCTTTTGATTGGTATTGCTCATTGAGTTTGTGTTTCCCTTTCTCTGTTTCAGTATAATAAACCTAGTGAAACTGTCATCCCTGAGTCTGTCGATGGTTTGCAAGAGAATCTGGATGTGGTAGTGTCTTTAGCTGAAAGACATTATTATAACTGTGATTTTAAAATGTGCTACAAGCTTACGTCTGTGTAAGTATATCTGCTCATTTTTGTGTAAGAACATAGAATTCAGTCCATTTCACTTAAGAAATGCATGGGACATGCTTCTGAGTAACCTGGAACTGATTGATGATAATTTAAGTTGCTTTTACCAATTTGCATCTGTCTTAAAGGAGCATTTACAGACACAGGTTTATGCACATTTGTAGGGATATTCCATTAATTTGGGTATATACATGTGTATGTCTCTCATTCTAGTCTTTGATAATTTGCAAGTTTGAAAATACGATTCTGGCATAGTTTTATAAAACCCCTCCTTTATTAAAGTAGAGACTAATAAAATCCTATAGATGCTGGGTGCTTAGTCAGGCTCACTAGCCAAGCCATCTCCCCCCACACCAGTTTTCCAGTGGACATAGCTCAAACTTAGCTAAATTACATATGCTGTTTTTAA